GAGACGGGCTCGCCCCCCGAGCCTCGCGGTGCCCACGGCCCTGCTCCCTTCCAGGCCAAACACACCCGGGGAGGCCAAGCGACCGGCCTGGGCGGTCACACAGCCCCGGGGGGGGGGGCGGGGGCGGGGACCGAGATGCAGCCTGCTGCCCCTCCCCCCACGGCCATTCCCCTCCCCGGCGCCCGCGCCTCCCCCCACAAGCCCGACCTGGACCCGGTGCTGCCGCTTGTTCATCTCCGTCTCCAGGCGCCGCTTCTGCTCCGTCTCCTCGCGAAGCCGCCTCTGCAGCTGCCCCTGCTGCTGTCGCATGAGCTGCACGTGCCGCTCGAGCTCCCGCAGCCGCTTCTCGCTCTGGGCCGACAGCGACGCCAGCCGCTCCGTCGCCTGCTTCTTCTCCTTCAGCACCTGGACCGACACAGCCTCCGCTGGGACGCCGCCAGCATGCCTGACAGCCAACCAGCGGGGGCAGGACCAAAGGACGGGGAGCGGACAGAGGGGCGGACAGAGGCGGACACAGAAGTCCAGGGGGTCATGGACCAATGACCTCAGAAGACTCGTGACGGAGGCCAGTCTGACAGTTACTACGTACCAGGCACCCAGCAAGTGCTCAGTATCAAGTGATCCCGACCTTCCTACAGAAAAACAGGGTTATCGCTATCCCCACTTTACAGATTAGGAAACTGAGGCACCGACAGGTCGGGAAACTTGACCAAGGACACACAGCTAGTAAACGGCAGGGCTGGGATTCACGCCCAGTCGGGTTGCAGAACCCACAGTCTCGATCATTCTACTGAAATGTCTCTCGGACGCCTGAACGGAGAAAAGGAAGGAATGAGGGATGGACAGCTGTAAAAATGGATGGATGGAAGGGGTGGGTGGACAGACGGATGGATGGGATCATAAAAGGGTAAAAAAACAGGATGAACAGATAATGAATGCATGGATCAATAAAAGGCAATAGAAAGACAAATGGATGGATGGATGAACAGTGGGTCACATCAACTGTGACCAAATGTGTTGGGGAAGGTCATCGAAAGATGTGATCACTGGTTGACCCATGAGCGGGACCCGGATGATCAGAGGCGCCTGCCCCCCTCCCCCGTCCTCGGAATGTGGGTTCTGCTTGCCTTTCCCACTCCCAGAAGGGGCTCCAAGGACACGACCTTGAGACAGTGATGTGGAGCTGAGAACAGTGCATGGTTCCTAAGACTGAACCCAGTTAAGGCCTCTTGGTAAACTTTTAAGATGTAGCAGGTGGGCACAGGGCTCCGCCCAAGACAAGCTTTGTCAATAAATTCCCTTTGCTTATTAAACCTGCCACCTTCCGACCTGGAGTGGCTGCCTCTTTGGTCTCTCCCCACCCTCCACGTGTGGGGACCGATTTAAGATCACATCCGGGAAGCTCCCAAGGAGATTACCACTGAAGAAATGGGCCTCGGGGCAAAAGGCATCAGGGGAAATCCTAAGCAGGCCACCGACCTCTGTGTGCAGAGGGGCGGTCCCTAGCTCAGATGCTTATGGATGGCCGCGTGAGTATGGGGGCGCCCTGAAAATGCTGGCTCATTTAGGGGACTGTGGGCTGCGGCAAAGAAGCGGAAGACAAGGGTGCGCGCTGGGCTGGCCTCGACTGTGGACAGTTCATGTGGCCACCGAGGCCCAGCTAGAGGCTGTGGCTTGAGTTAAAGAGCTGAGATTAGAGACGGACGTGGGAGTGTCCCCCAGTCTGCTGCCTTCCGGGCTGGCGGACAAGGTGGGAAGGCAGAGTAAGAAGCAAGCTATGAGGATGAGGGCACAAGACACCTCCGATCAACGAAGCCTGGTTCAGACGCTAAGAGATGGAATCTCTAAGAAGGCAATCAGAACAAAGAGGAGGGTGTTGTGGTAATTGATGAGGAAGCAGATAAAGTGGCCCATGACTCTGATCCCTGACACAAAGGAAAAAATTTATTTTTTTTTAAAGATTTTATTTATCTATTTGACAGAGAAAGCGTACAAGCAGGGGGAGTGGCAGGCAGAGGGAGAGGGAGAAGCAGGCTCCCTACGGGGCTCGATCCCAGGACCCCAGGATCATGACCAGAGCTGAAGGCAGAGCTTCACTGACTGAGCCACCCAGGCGCCCCCACAAAGGAAAAATATAAAGAGCAGCTACCCCAAAACTTCAAGAACACTTGCATGCTTTCTCTGTCCCTTAAGTTTGTAAATCTCATCATGTCTTCCAAATACAAACACCCGGGGAGATAACCAAAGCGCTGCCCACAGAGACTAAAGAGAAAAGTGGGGGGAGACCTTTTGCAAATTACTGTCGCAGTTTCCTTGCCCCAAGTCCAGGCCACAAACTCCAGAAGATGAAGAGTATCAGTAGAAGCTTCAGCCGTGTGAGTGGGCAGTGATTCGTGGCAAGAGCGCTACAACGAAAGCTGAATGGATACAGAAAGTTGCAGGAGGGATGGGGGAAGACGGGGGAGTAGGAGGACGCTAGGTTCACCTCATCCCAGGGTACAAGTAGATAACAGTCACATCGGTGCAAACAACCCAGAAAACGGTCCAAGAATGGCAGAACAAACTCTACAACGAAACGTAGAGAAGAGGCACATTGAAGAGGGCGGGGAGGGCAGAGCCGTGGGAAGCTAACTGGACCACAGGTCTGTCCGCAGGAGGACGGATGCCAAGGAAGTGGAGACGGGAGAGAAACAGACCCTCACACCAGGGAGCCCGCATGGGAGACGATCACCATAGCATTTGGCTTTAAAAACCAGAGGGGGGGCGCCTGGGTG